AAGCAACAGAAAATGTTAAATTTTCAAATTCTTAAGTTCTTTTATATATGTGGTCTGTCCGGAAAAAGTCCACCCATTGTTAATATAATGAGAATATTTTGCGTGACATTGATGTAACCTGGCAGTCAAGGAGTGGACTGGAATGCACATGCATGAACAATGACAACTTCATTGTACTGTCTAGTGGGGGCAGTAGATGCTATTGAGTAATCTTATGTACTGCGTGGCCGTCACATGCAAAAGAGTAGAGCAATGAACCTGCACCAAATTTTGCTTTAAGCTTTACCATTCCTCCGCAGCAACTGTTTGCATGATTCAGAAGGCCACAGCTATGGGCAACTGGTAATTGGCAGCTTCATCACAATGTGCCTGTTTATGCATCGTGTCTCATGCAGAGTTTTTTGTGAAACATCAAGTCCCACTTTATCCCAGATTTGGTATCCTGCAACTTCTGACTTTTCCCAAAACTAAAATCACCTTGGAAAGGGAAGAGATTTCAGACCAGTGATGAGATTCAGGAAAATACAATGGCGTAGCTGATGGTGACAAGAACTATTTGAGGTCCTAAGGTGCCTACTCTGAAGGGGACTGAGGCATCATTGTCCTATGTTATGTTTCTTGTATCTTCTTCAATAAACATCTTTATTTTTCATATTACATGTCTGGATACTTTCTGGAACAAGGTCCTTAATTAGTATGTGATTTACCAGTTTTCTCGATTGCGGATTTTCTTTTTGATGTTATCCTTTGAAGCACGTTTTTTAATTCAAATTAACTATTTTCTGTCATGTGACTTTTGTGTCATATCGAAGAAACTCTTGTCTACGGTGTTCTTCTAAAAGTTTTATAATTTTAGCTCTTACATTTAGGCTGATGATCCATTTTGAATAATTTTTTATATAGTGTGAGGTAGGAACTCAACTTAATTCTTTTGCGTGTCAATATCCAGTTGTTCTAGGAGCATTTGTGGAAAAGGCTGTTCTTTTTCCCATTGAATAGTCTTGGCACAATTTCTGCATATCTTTAGTATTTTGAAAAGGAGTTATCTTAATTTTGATGAATCCTTACTGATACCTTTTATGAATTGTTTTTTTTTGATGTCATATTTAAAACAACTTTGGGTAAAGTCAGTTTCTTCACTAATAGGTTTATAGTTTCTGTATTTAGGTCCATCATGCATTGGATTTTTCTACATACAGTGTTCAATTGTTACAGCACTATTGAAAAGATTTTCTGAGTTGCCTTTGTAGCTGTCAAAATTCACTTGTCCATGTATGTGTGAATCTACATATAAACTTTTTCACTGATCTATTTGTATGCCACTATCTTAATTTCTATAGCTTTATCTACAAGTCTTGCAATCAGTTAATGTTAGCATTCCAATTTTATTCTTTCAAAGTCATGTTTGGGAATTCTAGGTCCTCTATACTGTCATACATATTTTAAAACCAGTTTGTCAGTTTCTACCCAAATTGGCTGATCTTATGATTGGGACTGTGTCAACCTATAGATTTGGGGAGAACTGGTACCTTCATATTGTCTTCTGAACCATGAACCCAGTATCTCTCTTCATTTACTCAGGTCTTTCAGCAATGTTTTAGATTTTTCAGTGTAGAAGTCTTCCAAATTTTTTGTTAGATTAACCTCTAAGCACTCCATATTTTTTAAAGTATTTATAAATAGTATTTTACTTCATTTTCATTTGTTGCTAGTACATAAAATATAATTTACATTTATATATCAATATTGTATCTTGTAACTTTAGTAAATGTATTACTTCTGGTAGCATTTTTTTATAGATTACATTGACTTTCTAAATAGGTTATCATGTCACCTGCAAATATAGATCTTCTTTTCATTCTAGACAATTTACATTTCTTTTTCTTGCCTTATTGAAGCAGGTACCACTGTTTTGTTCCCAATCTTAGGAAGGAAACAGACTTTCACCACTATCATGTTATCTCTACTTTTTTTTTTTTGTAGATGCCCTTAATCAGGCTAAGTTTCCTTCCAATCTATTAATTACATAACTTCTCTTTTACAGTTGTTGATGTAGTGCATTTCATTGACTTTCAAATGTTAAAAGCCAACCTTGCATTCTTGAAATAAATGCCATTTGGTCATGATGTATCATCCTTTTCATGTAATGTTGGATCTGCTTTGCTAAAATTTTGTTTAGAATTTTTGCACTTATGCTGAGTTCTTTATTTCTTACACAGAAAACTTACCTAATAGTCTTGTGCTGCATAACGAAGATTCAGGCAATGATGGACCACATATATGGTGGTCACAAAGAATTTTAATGGACTTGAAAGATTCCTTTTGCCTAATGTCCTCATAACTCAGTGTGGTAGCATGATACTTTATACAAATACTTACCATTGTGTTATAATTGCCTACAGTATCCAGTACAGTACCATACTATAAAAGTTTGCAGCCTAGGAACTGTAGAGAAACAAAAATTTTCACCTGGAAATGTCTCGTTGGTATAAGGATTATTTTAGGCTGGATAACTTTAAGAAATAGAAGACATGGGAGAATTGCCGAAAACCAAGTAGAAGTTACCCTTGTAAAAGACATATTTGTAAGAGAAATCCCCAATCATACGGGTGTCTCCCTCTCTGTATCAAGAAGCGGATAACCTGATCTCTAGAAACTCTTACCAATGCAGAAGGCAACCCCTTAAATCTGCATAACACCCTTAACCCTTGATTGCAGTGCTTTTCCTGATATCTTCTCACAACTTACTCTTCCACATCCAACATCTTTTGTCTTCAGCTGAAGATGGTATTTAAAGTGGTGGTTTCAGCCATTTTGGCAAATCACTCAATTTTCCTGGGTCTCTGGCATATATACATATGCTACTGAACTTTTGTTTTCCTTTTAATCTGAACTTATTTACACGGATGTCTCAACCAAGAACCCAGAAGGATAGAAGGTAAATTATTCTTCCTCTATACAGAGCAAGTCTGAATCACACAACCTAGGTGTGTAATAGGCTATATCATCTATATTTGAAGTTGCATACTATGATGTTCATACAATAACAAAAATCAGTGATGCATTTCTAGGAATGTATCACAATCAAGTGGTGCATCACTGTATTTATTTAGGTTATTACATTTTCTTAAATAGTGAAGTTTACCTAGAATGTGTTGCTCTGCTGTACAGGGATGAGCAAAAGTAGGTTTACACTTGTCAGAGCATGTTTAGAAATTGATAATTAGGCCAAGTGTGCTTCAGTATAGGCTACAAGAATGTGAAAATAATGAAAGCAGGCAATGTGAGCATTTATGAGATTGTACCTAGGTGAACTGGACCACTGTGACATTCTTTTGAGGTAACAAAGCTATTGTAATAATCATAACCTGCATGTCTTTTTCCATACGAACTGTAAATCTACTTTTGCCTAACCATGTATGAGTATATGAAAATACAATTTTCAAAATGTTTCCATATAGCAATAACTAAAATGTATTTAATCATTTTAATATTATCACACTTAAAAGATACCAAAATACTGAACAACCTAATAGATATTTCACATTTATAACTTTCCTCAGGTCTCCTAAAGCCATTTGGGATGAATAAAAGCATCCTTATTGCCCTTATGCCCTCTGCTTAGATTTTATTTCTGGTTTACCAAACTCCAAACAGGCAAAAAAGAAAAAGAGAGAGAAAGAGAGAGAGAGACAGAGAGAGAGAGAGAGAGAAAGAAACAAATTAATAAGGTTAGTAAATTAATCAAGGCAAAATTATAGTTATAGAAAAACAGAGAAGATATTCTCATTTGTATACCCTAGAATAATTCATTCTTTTTGTTTTTTAGTCCTCACTCAAGGAAATGTTTCCATTGATTTTCAGAGAGAAAGGAAGGGAGAGAAAGTGAGAGAAACATCAATTGGTTGTCTCCCATAAGCGCCCCAACTGGGGATTGAACCTGCAACCAAGGCATGTACCCTGACTGGGAATCAAACCAGCAATCTTTTGGTGTACAGAACCACACTCCAACCAAATGAGCCATGCAGCCAGGGCTGATTCATTCTTTAATACAAAAAACAATGAGCATCATATTTAAACAGTCCTTAATGTACTTTTAGTTAGCTCTTTAAGTTTTATACTATAAAATAATACCAGAACAAACAAATTATTTTGTGTGCTAATTAAAACTGAAGGAAATGGTGTAATTGTCTAGGTATTCATTTGAAAGAAATCATTCTAATCCCAATACAGTTTTAACTTGCCCTGTGACTTTCAGAATAACGGTATTCATTTCTCACCTATACAATTATGTAGCTGGATCAAATGATATCTAAAGCTTCTGACAGTTCTAAATGTTAATGATGCTGTATTACTTATATATATAGCCAATCCGCTTTTTTCCCTAAATGAAACTTCTTAAATCAGCATTTTCTCTAAAAATGGTGGAAAATTTCCAAAACACATCACATTTTAGAAAATTCAAATTCAAATCTATTTCAGACTAGGAATTGAAAATAGTAATTTCCTTACAAACAAAATGAGTCCTTTATTTCCTATCAACCGTGTTCCTAAGAATATGAAAGTATTACTTAAACTTCAGAAATAGTTTAAGGAGCAGTTACTGAAAGTCAAAACTAAAAAAGTAGTCTTCCTTAATTTAGTAAGTTGAAGCTTTGTATTAGGAAAACACTTATCACAATAAAAAATTAAATAGACAACCTGTTTTTTGAAAATCATTTGCAATCACCATATTAAAAAAAATAACTACTTTCCTCTATATAATTCTACTACATAATCATTAACTTTCCTAAATTTTCAAAACTTACATGCAATTACTTTCACGTATATCTCCAAGAAAAGGTTTCACTGACCAATGCAAACAGTGATTTATTAAATAAAGTAGAAGTCCATGCTTTATAATTCAGCATTAAATTTCTCACAGAGAAATCAAGAAACAACATTTCCTATCATTGATAGTTATCAATTTAAGTCCTTCACCTAATATTTCACTGAAGAAGTCAAGTGGGAGCTGCCTTTACAGATGATGCCAGTGCTTTGGCCATTCTTCGAACAAGTGCTTCTTGTCTTTTTTTCTGAATTTCTTCAGGAGAATACTTTCTATTTTTCTCTTCTTCCTCTAAAAATTAAATAAAATATAGATACTAGTTTTATAGGCCATAAAGTCATTTTTAATATAAATTTTAATTTTAATTTTTTTTACTACCCAGTCTGCCACACTGGTTTGGCTATTAAATCACACTAAACTACTGAATACATGATTTCAAATACTGCTCTAATGCTCTAGGCCAAAAGAAAACAAATCATTGATCAATCTGTCCCTACTGATGCACTCTTTCCACTGTGTGATAAAATTCATTTAATTAAAAATGGTACACTTTGAATATTCAGTAAATAATTGTTGTGCATAATGACATCTAATTTATATAACTAATGAACAAGTACATTCGAAAAACAAACTGGGATTTTAAATGTAAAGTAGTTAAAATATAATAAATTAAATTAGATACCAATACCTCAAATAGTGTATTTTAAGATAAGCTATACTTCTATTCACTTCTGTAGAACTCCAAAATTTTCATTTCAGCCATCCAGGAAAAATATTTTATTATTATAGACTGAAATCCAGCATGTCAATAAACACGTAACTACTCACTGTCAGGTATCTTTTTATTTGGAGGACACATTTTATATAAACATTAGAAAATTATTTTAAAAAGCAGAATATCTGAAATCTTCAATTTGAATGTCTTTTTAATATATAAAAATGTGAAACATTCTTATATATTCTTATGTAGCATACTTTAGTGTATACTTCACATAAACATACTATAAAATAAACAATGTTTTAAATTAAGTAAATAAAAATAAGGTCTATTTTAACAAACATCCAGTTCTACCTCTGCCAAAATACTGAGTTCTAATATAATGAATTTAATTCAATAGTTGTCACTTTGAGCTAAAATATTAACAAGAATCAAACTTTAGATAGCAAACCTATTACCTCATTTAAATGTTTTAAAATTGAGACCATCACCTTAATACGTATTAAAATGACCTTGTATTGTACTCATAAAACTGTTTATGTTGTAAAATTTGTCTTTCAGAGAAGTAAATAAGAATTTATGATCCTGTCAGCAGAGAAATGTTATTTACACTGACATTGAAACAAAGGTTCAGAATTTTTTTTTTACATTTCTCTTGTTAACTAAGGGAAATATATATCTAAAATATACCACCTATCTTCCCTTTCTTTCTTGGTATAATGTGAATGGGAACAGATGTTCAGGGTAAGAGAAGATACATTTTAAATAAACTCCCTAGTGATTCTGATGTCTTTTATTTCCTAAACTAATTATCTTACAGAGTGTAACTTTTTTTTCCTTACTGAAAGATTCTACAATATACTTTAAAATTAGCTAAACTAATTATCTAATATTTTAGTCTCAAAGCTGAGAAACGCAAGAAATTCACAGTACATATACACACAGTTTACATTCAATCAACCATAAGTTTGGAAGGAACACAGGTTAATAATCCATGACAATAGAAAAGAACATAGCTCCCTAAAATTGGCCTTACAGTTGGCTTGGTGATATTGTGGGAAATAATTTCAAAGGATATAATAAAGTCACACCATGAAAATTTGAATTAGAGCCATCCATTTCTCTCATCAGCCCTTCCTTTAACTCAATCTGCAATAAAAATACATAGCAAAGTCTCAAACTATTGCAAGGTACAAAGCAACAGTGGCTCTTAATCTTTAACTTAAAGCAAGGGTCAGCAAATTTTTTTTTTTTTTTTTTTTGGGTAAAGGGCCAGAAAGTAAATATGTTAACCTTTGAGGGTCATCTGGTCTCTTATCCTAACTGCTCAGCTCTGTCACTGGAGGATGAAAACAGCCACAAACAATACATAAACAAATGATGTGTTTCTGTTTAAATACGAATGTATGTAGGGAAAATAAAATTGGGATTATAATTTTTAAAGTCATGAAATACTGTTCTTCTTTTGATTTTTCAGTCATTCATAGCGTGAAAACCGTCTCAGCATGCTGGCTATACAAAAACAGGCCACACAGGCTGGATGGATTTGGACAGACCATGGTTTGCCAAACCCTGCCTTAAAGGAATGAGGCCCTTAAATGGGTTTTGTTTCAAAGACATTTTGCAGAAGAGCAGTTAGCTATATAACAAAGTAAAAGAAAGTGGGATCAATAGAAATATTAAGGTTAATATTCATTAGCATATTAGGTGCTAAAAATCAACTCAAACGAAAATTTGGTAAGGTAAACTGAAAGGCAGATTATTATTTATTTATAAAAATGCAGACAGGTTAGTAGATATAGGTTTTGGGAAACCTTAAATGTTCTAGAATGATTTAGTCTTTAATGGCATTATAACTATATGTTTACATATTCATTTTGGAAGCATGGGTCAATTAATTATACTTATTTGAATATAAATATTTAAAATTATTACAGATTGAAAATTCTTAATGTTTCAAAATATCTAGTTTGGGCCATAATACAGAGATATATTCATTGTCAGTATTGATAAGAATAGAGATTGCTGTAACTTTTTGGGAAGATTTGGTGATAGTCATCAAAATTCAAACCATTCTCCATCAATTTTTCAGTAATTAACAGATATAATCACAAGAGCATGTAGAAATGTATGTAGAAGGATATTCACTGGAGGATTGTTTGTAATGCAAAAACCTGCAACCAAACTAAACTTCCATCAACAGAGTTCAATAAATTGTTACATCCATATAATACCATACTATGTAATTATTAAAAGGACTGAAGCAAATCTATATGTAAGAACAGGAAAAGATAGTTTCAATATATGAAGTGAAGGCAAAGCCAAGTTGTCAAGTAGAGGGTATATAGTATATAATTCTATCTATTTAAATAGCTCTATAGGTATATACACACATATTTTTATACACACAAAAAAATGTTACATGATGTATTCCAAACTGTCAGCAGTGGCTTTTCCTGAGAAATGCTTGTGGAAGAGGAGAAATAGAGGACTTTTACATTTTTTTTAAAGGGGGGCGGAAATCATGTAAATAGGAAAGTTCTAAGAGTAATACCAACAAAAGCATTATCTGGAATCTAAGCAATGATCTAATGTTAAAAGAAAAAAAACTTTCTCATATTAGCATTGATCTACATAATAGATAAGAAGCCTAAAGTGACCTCCAAGTGAAGGAGAGTAATTAAGAAAATCTATCATTAAAAGTACAGTAAATGCCATCACGGAAGTTAGCACTGGGTATTGGAGTAAGCCAGAGAAAGTGAACGTTAAATCATTCTGGAGGTGGTTAAAAACACTATTTCAAAGGACAAATGGAAAATGGCATTTGGTGGGGGCACTATTCCTGGTGAAGGAAATAGCATATGCAGGCATGAGACTGTGAGAAACCACTGGGCATTAAGAAGCACTAGTAGTTACACCAGGCATATTCCCTTTTAAAAAATACTATGATATCAGTAAATAACAGACCTCTTAAGTTACACAGCATGATACTCATTCAAATACTTATTAAACATCTTCTAAGTGGCAGGTATTGTGGTAGTTGTAGGTACTCATTGATAAGACAGTAATCAGTATCTAATTATGATTTTAAAAGGTGAAGGAAATGAGAGATGATGGAAATAAGGAAAAGACTTACTTATAGATTGTTCAAGGAAGGCCTCCGTGAAAGGGTAGGTAATGTAAGAGACAGAAAGATAAAAAAGCACCAACCAAAGACTAGGATGGGGAGGGGGCGGACAAACACTGGAAAGTAGTTTTAGTTGGAAATAGCATAGTCAATGGTCCAGAACTAGGGAAGAAACTTTCTTTTGAGGAAATGAAAGACACCTGGTACAGCTGAAGCTTAGTACATAAGGAAAAAAAGAGGGCAGGCAGACGAAGGGAAGATAATCGAAGGCTTTGCAGATAACAGTGTAAAGTTCTACTTTATTTGAAACAGAATGGTCAGACACTGAAGGCTGTGGTTAAGCATAGGAATGCATGTTTACCCATTTGTAAAAGATTATTCTGCTCTTTGGAGACTAGAATTGGAAAGGGACAGGTAAAAAAAAACTGCAGTAGTTCAGTCAATAAAGGTTGCCTTGGAAAACGGTGGTAGCAGTAGACAGTTAAATGGGTAATTTTGAGATATTTTTGTGGTAGCAACAACAGAACTTGTTGATGGAAAGAAGAATTTGAGAAAATAAAAATTGGAAGAATGAAAGAAGACTGGTTGTACTCAGTAAGTAAATAAGAATTCTTATCAAAACTAACAGAGTTTTATATCAGCTATTAAAGGTGTTTAATTAAAATGCCCTAAATTTTCAATTATTATTCACCTCAGTGTTCTGCTAAACAAAGACTATCCAAGTTTTAAAACAATTGGATATTTTAATACAATCTCATACCGTATATATCCTAACATACGATTTTCCAGAAAATAATTCAGAAAACATTCACCATATGTTTACTGAGTGCCTACTATATGCTAGTCACTGTGTTAAATGTTGGTAAAGAACTTGAAGCAGTCTTTTGGAAACATAAATTACGCACTTGGTATATTACTGCACAATTATTCACAAGAAATATTTAATGATTTATAGTTAAACATCATAGTTTTTGCCACACACGTTATGCAAATTTAATATAACAAAAATCTAGTTAGGCTACTTTCCAAGATGATGCCTTTCAAAGAAAATGATTTCATACATACCTTTTGAAGGTTGTTTCAAAGATTGAGGTTTCATCAAAGATTCCTGTTGAATAGCTTTCCCACCTGAGTTAACAGTTTTGTTTTTCTCCAAACTCTGTAAAATTTTGGTATCAGAGATACTTCCTGTTATGCAATTTTGATTAATCTGGGAAAGAACCGAAGTATTTTTGATCTTTGTAAATGTATACTTAGAAAATCTAACTGTTCCATTAAGGTCACTCTGATCTTCATCTGTTATGGTCCTATGAGACAGAGTCCTAGTATTCAATTTCTTTTCATAGGTAGCTATTTGTGTACTCATTTGATCTGAATTCACATTCAAACTTGAACTTCTTGGAAGAACCAATTTGGAACTATTCACTTGAATTGGAACACCAGTATTATTCCAAGAGACTGGAAGATTATTGATTGGACAATTTGAGTTCTTAGAGTATAGAGTAAAATTTGTTGTAGTACCTAAAAACCTTGTAGAATTTCCACAAATTTTCCCTTTCTGCATCTTCACTGATTTATTTATTTGTGAGCTATCTGTCAGCGAAGAGGATTGTGCTGAAACACTGCTCAGATTCAAATGTGTTGACTGCACCAACTGACTTCCTTTTTTAGATGTAATAAACATGTTTTTGGCTCCATGTTTGGAACTGTTATTAATCTCAAGTATACTTTCTGATGTTTTGCTGTCCTTTCTCAAGTCTTGCTGCTGAGTTAGTCTTTCAAAATCATCACATGCTTGGTATAGTAAGTCATCCTCTACATCATCAGCTTCCCAGGTATTCTCTAATTGATGACATGCTATAATCATTTCATTGGCAAATGATGGGTCATTCCAATCATCAGAGAAAGAACTGAGCTTTGACGCATTTGTCTGACTTGAATTGCTCAAAGCAGCAGAGTCAAACAGAACTCTATTAGAATGTGTTTTAAAAGACTGATTAAAAATGGACTTGTTTTTTTGTTCATTAGAATATCCTGTGTTCGAAGTAGACTTTTTTTGAGAAGTATTTACATTAGAAATAAATCTAGTATGGATATTTTCCTTTACTTTTGTCAGAGCAGGAGCAACTGCACAATCTTGAGTTTTATTTTGAATGACTTTATTGAAAGATTTCTCAAATTTCACTTTATTTCCAATGGATAATAATTTGTTTGGCTTCTCAGTTGAATCTGGTGAAAATGTGTATTTTCCAGCATCTATTAATTCATTGGTATGTGTCTTTGAAGAAACACCTAGTAAAATTTTTGAATCTCTAAACCCAGCATCTAGACTTATATTCATTTTTGAGTTATTTTTATCATTTTCACTCTTAAAGTTACAAATTTCCTTTCGATCAACAATCTGGGCTGTTTCAGGAGCAAGAAAGGGTTCAGACATTTCTACATTTTCTGTAATGAAAGGTTCATTACTTAGTAAGTTTTCCCAATCATCCTCAAAATCACTAGTAGTAAATGCATCCATGCACTTATTAAAAGCTTTTGGATCCTTAGTACTGGAAGTCATATAAGATTTTGTCCTTCCAGGAGTATCTGCTTGATGAGAAAGTGATGTTGGGGGTTTATTTGGCAGTTTTTCAGTGACCTGAGTTTCATTAGTAATGATTTTCTCCTCTTTCAAAGCACTTTTCTTTCCAAAGGTAGTATCAGTGGTCCAAAAATCATCTGAAAGATCCTGGCTTAACTGTCCACTACATTTCTGGGTAGAACCATCAAAAATGGCATTAAAGGCTGCTTCAGCGTTTTGGTCAAATGGCTTCTGACTGCTATATTGATCATTTACCACAGATACCTTGGTGTTTCCTTTCATTGGCTTCTTTATTATAGCATTATCTATTTCGGGAACTATATCATGTAATAACCGCATCTGTACATTGTCTTTATAATTATTTAAAGCCTCTGCTTCTGAAATCATCTGGATAAAATCATGATTCTTCTTGTTTTGCTCTTGAATCACATCGAGCTCTTCCATATTTTTATCAAATTGCTTAGCTAATTTCATAAGTTCTTCTTCTTGATTTTGTGTTTTTAACCTATTAAAATATTTAAAAATTATAAGAAAAGTTCTAAGGGTTATTATAAATATTCAATTGTTATTTAACATTTTAATGTTAAAACTTGAAATTTTTAACACATTATAATTATTTTAAGACAAAAATTTTACATGTCAAAACTAAGGAAAAGTTTTTTATAAATTCACAAAACCAAAAGAGAACATTACTGGAAATATTTACTTCATTGAATGTCAGAAAAACTAAAGTTTGAACTTACTTTGTACAGCTGATTTTTGCTCTTGATTTTCCCTTTGCAACATTAGGAGTACAAGGAATAGCAGATTCACCAATCCACACACCCAACATGGAGTCTGTTGCTGGTTTTTCATCCTTTGGCAGAAAGGGGGAAAAAAGGCAGAAAGGGAAAAAAAGAGGTGTAAAGTACAAAAAAAAAATTTCCTCAACTAATTCTGTCTGGTAGGTGATAATTACTAAACAACCTCTAAAACAAGGAAAAGCTGGAGGACGGTAGAACAAGTTGCAGGAAACGATACATTTATGTTTCTGGGAACAAAAACATTCAGAATTTTGAATTCTTTAATTTCAAAAAGTATTATGGTCTAGTAATTTGATTATTTAACAAATGTGTATTTAATAATAAAAGCACATTTTTATCAACAGAAAGCTGATCAACATATAAGTTATTCATAAAAATAGACATATAAGAAATAAACTGTTAGCAGAAATCATGAGTTAAGAATAAAGACACATATGAATTCTTTCTATGTCACCTGATTCTCCAGATTTTCCCTATCCCCATTATAATCTTTATCTAAACTTGGACAGCCTATGCTAACCTGAATTAAGAACACTTAGATAGAATTAAGGTCAGGAATGAGTCAGAGATGAGTACAAGGTTAGAACTAATGCAAAAAGTAAGGTTAGGGAAAAGCCATTTAAGTGTTGCTATGCCTTTCAGTTACTTGATCATGTAAAATATTGGAGAATGAGTTTATGCATTAGTTACAAACCAAACCAACAAATCAAATAGGTTAGCCATTTTCTACTCTATTTTTATAGTACCTAGAATGAACATAAATATCATTCAAGGTAAAAATATTCTTATTACTAGATTATAGGTTACTTATAAGAATTATTCTATGACAGTTCAGCATCTAGCAAAATGCCGGACATAAAGATGTCAGTTCATGTTTATTTACTAGAATCAATTGATCACCAAGCAGTTTTCTTAGATGTCCAGTTGATTACAGTAGATTTTAGCTTTGCAAAATACTTTAAAAATATCAGTAATTTCACCTTCTATATATATATATTTTTCCCTTTTGTTTTCATAACAAACTTGATTTAGGAAAAACATTCTTACTGATTTAATTACGGACTTTCTTTTTTTTTGTCCATTTGCCAAATAACTTTATATATCTAATTGTATACAGATACGAGTCCTTTGTATATTTTTATATTATTTGTTATATTTTAATAACTTTATTAAAAATTACACAGTACCATCCAGGTGCTGTAGTAAGATTATATAAACACATTATTTAATCCTAAAGAATACACACTGTGTAGAGTTATAAAAATGATGGGAAAATATACCCCCATCTTCAAACAAACAGCACTGCATAAAAAGTGTAATGAATGTCCTATTAAAATGGAAGTGCATATTCCTTTTTAAAAAAATGCCATTTCTAATAATATTAAGGTGATAAGTAATTATTTGAGGACAACTCACCTAAAAATAAACAAAATGAATGTCATTTTTAAAAAGACCTTGATACCACTAAAGATTGTTTTAAAACTACTCAGCTGAAAAGGGTAACATTTAAAAGCAACTAATTTCACTGTATTTTTTTCTTACACACAAGTTACCACTTGCATGCTGTTGCCATTTCTTTCTGTGAGCTATTTTTTCCAGCCCACTTAAGTAAAGAGTCCAACAATTTACTCAACTATCTTTTTATCACTATTTAGGCTGGCCAGCCTAAACACATTTTATTATGTTTCTTTCATGTGAAACCCACAATTAATGAAGATCTATTGTTAATTCATGAAGTAAGTAGTATTATGGTATAAATGCTATTTAACTAATGAACCAAATGGAAAATGAATTTCTATGACATGCCAAACATGGAATGTAGAGAGCTAGTAGCAACAGAGTTGTTTTGACTATCACAGTTGTAATTTTGGATATTTTATAGCCATTAAGAAAAACTTTATTTCCTGCCTCCTCCACCTGGATTATGCTGATTCCCTGTAACCACAGTTTGGGTCAGGGCCATCTATTGTTTTTGATCAAGATAGTCACTATCCATTGGTGTGTTAAGCAAAAATCCTATACTTCCTACAGATAAGACACTAAGCAAAAATTGGATGTTTTCTGGATTTATATTTGTTTAATAAGAGGGGAAAAAAGAGAGTAAAGAGGTTCAGAACAAGACCTAAGTTAATATTTCTGTTTTTCTCAAGCAGTACAAGAAATAAAGAAAAAGACACTTTTGCAGACGGTTCCATTACAGCAAATAATTTAACTATCCTAATTAATTTTAACAAAACCTTGTATTTATAGTGATCTATAGTTTACAAAGACTTGTTATCTAATATAATCTTCATAATAATTCAATAAAGGAAGTAAGACAAGTAGTTCTATTTTATGGCTGAATGAACTGAAGTTCTGAGAGCTCAAGTGACTTGCTGAGGGTAACCCAGTATAAAAGGCAGTCTGAGAACTAACTCCAAATACTGTTTTTTCACTTTTACAATGTTTCTTAATGATCTTGTAATTCAGCAGTATTAAGAGCAGTTTCAATGGGGAAAAATTGCCCTACAGACAGTAAACAATTACCAATCACAAAAAAAGCTTAAATTTTTATTGTCTGATTCTATTATTTTAGTAACTTGAAAATGATGCCATATATTGTGAAACAATATTAAAAACAAAATAAATACAAAGATCTAGTCAAAATCATCATCTAAAAAACTGAATGATGTTTTTTATGATGTTTAGGAAAATATATATTACCAATTTTTCATTGTTTCTATTTTCAAAATAATGAATTTCAGCAGTAGAAAATGCAGAAGTAGTATCCGCTGCTCTATTTTTGGAAAAGAGAATTGTAAAAGACAAAACATTTTTCATATAAATTAACTATACAAGGACTTAGTGGCATAAAATGAATTATAAAACAGTGATATTTACCTGAGGAGCAATACGGTTAACAATATGTGAGATCTCATCACTATCTGTGGTGTAAACCTTTTTTTTTCTTACTTTACCTAAAGAAACAGACATATTTCTATAAATAATAGTTTTAAAAATCTATTATAAAAAATACCGGTCACTTGTTAGAAAACAATTTTAAATAGCACAGCTTAGATCACTGTGCACTGTGATTTCACATGCGTATTATAGCAATACAATCAGATAAGATTTTCAAAAAACGTCTATTGTAAAAAGTTCTTGATGTTCTTTCACTGAAATTCAACAGTTAAATCTTATTCATTTCTTAAATAGTCACCCAGATAAAAATGTTAATAACAAATTACCTAACTGTTTGGTCATTGGAGAATTTTGATCCCAAAAAATATCATTCTGTCCATCTGGATCATTAGGAGAACAGAAGGTAGAGGACAATAAATCCATTTTCAGCACTCTCTTTGGTGTTTCATACTTTTCTACATAAAATAAGATTAAAATAGCAATTATTGCATTTTAAAGCACTACTACACAATACCCCAATGTTAAATAATAGCTTTTAACAAGATTACTTTTTATAGTACAATTATATAATTTTCTCCCAGAGATGATTTAAAATAAATTTTCACAACTTAAATATTTGTTTCACATAAAAAAAATCCTAATACTTCTCATATTTAATCCTGTAACTAGCAAGTATCTTAAGATAATCTAGTTGGTCTGTGAATGTATAATACTGTATGCCCGCGGTATACTCTAGTCACTCCATTCATTGCCACTGGAACTTGGAGGCTTTGGGAACCACCTGTAACTTACAGACACATTTAAACAATCAAAAGCATCTCAACAGAAACCTCAATAAAAGTCTTTTTAGCCCGGTTTCACCAGCGCTATCTAACTTACACCAATTACTAAAAAGCTTTAGCGATCCACTTCTTGGAGTTTTTCTATTATTACTCTTACACTTTCTAGAGAGTTGTTCTTGTTCATTCCGGTGTTGCTTCTGGGGAGTAAACCAAACGCAAGTAAGGTAACAAAAGCCTTGTTTTAAGAACACGCTCTAGGAAACAGCTTTAGTGTGAATTTCACTTCTAACTAGAATTTATTGGAAAATTTTCAAAAATGTAAAATCAAAAATTGATCAGAATACTCCGAGGGCCTACTTTGAGGGGTGTTATACATAGGAACTTCCGGTTTATTCATAATGAGATGGGACTTCACCGAGGCTTTGAGAATATAGATACCTATAGCTTTTCATATTGTTCCTTCTCTAAAGCAAGTCGGGGCAAAAGTTTAAGCGGTAATAATTCCCCTAGGAATAAGCTCAAGGCAGCAGGTCTATCAGGTATTCCTTCTTGCTCCGCCACGGCGGACGACTTGGAGGAAAAGCCTAGAAATTAGCTGCACGCCCTCCCTCAAACACGTAACTCCCATACGACCTATTTCTGTGGCAGGGTCAAGCGGGTGATTATACCTAACGGGGTACTGCTCAAAATCGGGACCGTGGGGAAATGTGTCGGGTTAGTTTTGGACTCACGAGGGGAGAAGCCCTGAGAAAGACAACACCAGCCCCACTCCCACCCCTGGTTTCCCAGTTGCAAGCTGGGCTGTGGGGCTGAAATGCAGATGCCTAGAGTGGCCACACTGCCCACGTCTCACCCTCGGGGTTACTTTTACTGCACGAAGCGGCTACTGGAAGCGGCTCTTGCTGCGGAATGGGCTGGGGAGGACCACCTCCGGCCCCGCTGAACCCCGATCTGCGGGCCGACCTCAGCCGCCTCTTCCCTGACTCGACCACCGAGCTGCATTCCTCTGCCGCCGCCGCCGCTTTGCGCGGCGTATTCTTCAGGCCAGGGCTGTCCCCAAGTTTTCTTCGCCGACTCATTGCCTAGGATCCCCCTTCACCAGCCGTTCTTCCTTTCACATTTTGCACAGGTAGAATAGGGTAGTGGAATTACAAAACGGGCCGGCGCTAACGGCCGCCGCCATTTTTGCCGATGGCGCGCCAGTAAGAGACGACCGCTGATTGGCTGAGTCTGGCGAGGGGTGGTGCAGTCCTTGTGCTGGTGGAGCGCGCGCTTCCGCAGCCCGCCTCCGAGCCTTCTGGGCTCTGGCAGAAGTCATCCTGATTGGAAAGGAGCGCTAGAGATGGTAGTGTGTGCATTAGTAACTGACAGTGAGAACGTACGAGGTGAGAAAAAGATTTAATCCACTGACATCTATTCATTGAATTTGCAACTAGATTTACATATAACTAATCCAGATTACTGTAGGATTTAGCACTTTCAAGAAATAAAAGGTATAGGGTAGGGAGGAAGCAATAAAACTTTTTTCATAGATGGTACCTGCGTAGAAATATCAAAAAATGTAGGAAAAATTATTAAATGCACAAATTAATAAAGTAGCTGTACAAAGTCAATATTCAAAGATCAACTGTGTTTCGATAGATTAGTAACAAACATTGCCATTTTAAAGACCATTCATTTTAGCATACAAGATATCAAATAACAAGGAATAAATTTAACAAAGGATTGCAACACCCCTACAGAGAATAACGCAATATTTTTTAAAGGAACTGAACACGTAAATAAAAGACAGATAAATATATGTTGATAGGTTGCAAGACTCCATTTTGTTACAATGTTCTCAGATCTATGGATTCAATGCAAATCCATTCAAAATTGCAGTAAAATTGTGTAATAAACTTGTATATGACAAGTTTATTTTAAAATGTGTATGGAACTACAAAGGGCTACAAATGTCCAAGAAACTCTTGCACAATAATGAAGTCGGATATCCACCATGTATCAATATTTATAAAGTTATGGTAATAAAGACAGTGTAAAATAATGAAAGGATAGACAAACAGATGAACAAAACAGACTAGAAAGCACAGAAGTGGACCTTTACATAAATGAACACTTGATTTAATATCAATTTGATATTCACATGGGAAAAGAAACTTAACCTCTATGTCAAACCATATCCCCAAATTAAGTTGCAATTGATTATATATTTAATTGTAAAAAAAATAAAATAATTAACATTCTAGAAGTTGATATAAATTGTCTTCATAACAGAGAACGAATTTTAAATTGAACAAGAAAGGTCACCAGCTATAAAGAAAATAATTATAAATTTGACAACAGTACATTGATAACTCAAGATCTGATGCCTATCCAAAGACAACATTAAAGAGAATGAAAAGCAAAGTACAGATTGGGAGAAGATATTTACAAGAGATAAATTAAGGGCCCATATGTGAAGTATATGAAGAATTGATATGAATCATTAAGAAAATGATTAACCACCAATAAGAAGAATGGATCAGATACTTTAGCAAGCTCTCTTTAAAAAAACCTAAATAATCAACAAATTTGTAGAAAGTTGTTCAACCTCATATGTAATGCAGAAAATGAAAATTAAAACCACAATGTGGTTTTAACCAGCAGCAGATAAGTATGGTAGGTAAGAATATTGAACTATATTTGCTCAACACAATGCCACATAAGAATGAAAAGGAAAAACTATAGCTCCTTGCAACAATGTGGAAAAATGTTATAAATGTAGTTGAGCAAAGGAGACCAGAATAATATAATGCAGTGATTTTCAACCTTTTTCATCTCATGGCACACATAAACTAATTACTAAAATTTGAAGCACAACAAAAAATAGGTATAGTTTTGATTTATTTACAGTGGATGGTTATTGTTGTGTTGGGTGCAGTCATTTTTTAAAATTTGGTAATCTAAGGGAAAAGAAGTCAGTCCTCCTGACTCAATAGTCAGGTGTTACATAAGTGTTTTAAAAATTCTTGTGGGCTGAAAATCACTACTATGATGGTACTTTGGAGAGGCTAGAAGGGAAAATGACTAGAAGGGGACAGAAAAAGGGGAAGTATGTGATGTGCTTTGTTCATTGTCTTGTTCTGGTTGTTAATTTCGTGATAATTCATTGAACTGAACATGTTGTTTTGTATACTTTTCTGTATGCATGTTATATTTATCAATAAAAACATTTAAATTTTTTAATATAAGGAAAACATCTTTGTTTCCATCAAGGAACTGAAATGTATTTCTTATTTGTAATTTACTTTGTTTTCATTCTTCATTTTGGCTAACAGGAATCCTAAAACTGAATTTGAGGTTCAGTTCTAGCAATAATGCCAACCATTGTGACCAAATTATCGCATTCTTTCTCAGTCCTTGGCTTTCTACTATTTTCTTTGCCATAATTTTTTAAAATTTATATATTTTTAAACCATTATTTAGTTTTACACATGTATAACTAGATATGACTTCTTGGTAGGTTACATCTCTTAAAATTCAAATTAACTACTTAACCCTGAAGTTTTCTTAATTAATAGGTATACTGTTATTTCTCTTGGGGATTTCTCCTACCTCTTAAATGACCGAGATTCCCAGACACAGAAAAAAGAAGTCAACTGTCCATTATAACACTTTATTAAAGAGATGGCATCATAACTGTCTAAAAAAGACTTAATTCACCCTGGAAAATGCCCAACTCACACTTAGAAAATAGTTGAAGACGTTTGAAGAATTTTATAATGCCTATAGGAGTAATAACCGCGTGGTAATTCTTTAAAACATAGTAATACTGCAAATAAAATAACAGTGAATAATTTCCCATAACTGTCCAAATTCTCTAGTACCCAAGTAACTACTGTAAAAAGGAACAACTTGAGTCCAAAGAACAGTCGTGTGTTTTTACCTTAGCACACCCAGGATGGCTATAATTGTAATCATTATGTGGTAGGAAACTGTCATAACTTTTAGCTTTAAAGTCACTTAATTCATACAATCTGTTACAGTTCTAATCTAGCTAAAATTAAATGTACTTCCTGAATATAACTACTGAATAAGTACAGTACAATTAACTCCTTGATAAAACATTCTTAATAAATAAAAGTTGTCTTGTAGAAATTTGAATGCAATATGATTAAAAATGCCAAAACCTAGCATTTCTAGGCATTTGAGTAATATGTACATGTAAGTTAGGTTTAATACAATGAAAAACATTTTAATAAATCAAAGTTAAACTCTTATTTGTTTACTTGCAGAAATTATTCATAAACTTGACAGTATTCATTAAATAAAACATTGAGACATTGAGAGTCTGTTGATAAGGAGCTTTTTTGTGGAGTGATTGCCTTGTCACTTACATTACAATGATACTATCTGCTGGATGGATGGATAATTGTGAGAAGTCTTTGTTTCAAGTAAAAAAATAATAAAAATCATAATGTGCTGTTATGTAGCACAGTATGTGTGAAGAGCCCTGCTTCAGTTATAAATCTATCAGAATACCTTTGGCAGATCTGAACAGGTAACAAAATGAGTAGAGCTTTTTTTTCCAGTCTTGTTATGTTTCTAAAATATACTCCAAAGTGCACCTGGGCCCATTTTTCCTAGTCTTGACCTACAAGCAATTGTAATTAAAGTCACCTACCATGTTTATCCCTCTTCGGAGGGAACTGCTCCATCAAGAGCCTCTGCTGCTGCCTCTGTGACTTAGATCTCACCAGCTGGCCCTAAGCAGGTAAAACTGAATGGATTAGAGGGGAGCACCTGACTTTGGAAACGAATCTATTGGCTGGTTTTTCACCTGCCTTTCACAAAAGATACATGGAGACAATTATATTTACTGTTAGAGATCTGAGGTAAGAATTTGCTAGAGGGCCTTGTTCAAAACCACGGGGGTGGGGGGCAGAAACTATGTGGCAGCCTACTGAGAGTGGAACCGAAAGAAGCCGCAGTGTTATACTGACCGGGGATGATTAAGGTGAACATCTATAGACACCACATACTGGAAACTGAACAACCGCCATTCGATTCTAGTGTCCCTAAAAATGAGGTCTGACTGTAATTCCCATCATTTCTTTCAGTGAAAACCCCTTACAGTAAATTTCCTTTCCTTCAGCTAATGCCAGTTAACCTGTATTCCTTATATTCCTTATAAAAACTGACCTAACAAGCAAAATAGAGACAGATTCATAGATAGAGAGCAGGCCGACTGCTCTGGGGCAGGGATCTGTGGGTGGACGAATCGAGCCAAAAAGAGAAAGGACTCATGGACGTGGACAACAGTGTGGAGGTTGTGGGGTGAGTGGAGGTGAAGAGGATATAACCAGGATAAGTGGTAATGGCAAAAAACAATAAAAGAAAACTTTTTTTAAAAGAAGGAAAAAAACCTGAACTAAAACAAAGCTTGGGATCAAGAGCTATACTCCAATTATTTCTTAGTTTTTATTGGAGACACCAATTGGGAACAGAGAAATGCCAGCTGCAAAAATGCTTTTATTTTTAAATGCTGTTTGCAAAGCATGGCGTGAAAGCCATTCTTAAGGATAAGATGACTATTGTAAACTTTGGCAAAAATCACACTTAGTTATAAATGATTTGAACAGTTTTTATAATAAGTTAAAGGAATATTATTTTGAAAAGTTCAAAGTAGGATATAACAATCCCATTTAAAAATGGAGTTGGGAGCTAAGATATTTTAGTGATTCATTTGAAACTGAAATAATTTATGGTGGGCACTGGCTGTCATCTGAAATCACTTTTTCTTTTTTTAATATTTCTTGTCTCACTATTTTTATAAAGACCTAAAATTTTAGAAAATACGGACTGTGTTTGTTTGCCTTTCCAAACCATACTCCAGGATGACATTTCAACTTTTGTTTTACCACTTTCCACAATTTCCTTACCTTCTCAATCTGCAAATAGTTTCCTGGTGGCCTCAAACTTTGGATCCAACATGCCATTTGCTTTTTCAGCGCTTGTATCTGAGCTATTGAGTATGTTGGAGAGGTTCTCAATTGTGCCACCATGAACCAGAGGAGGTTTCAGTGACACAAGACAAAGGTAACTGATCAGCACAGCTCATGCTTCCATCCTCTAAAATAAAGATTCCAAATTCCCACCACTTTCTATATAAGAAAAAATGCCATGAGAACAATGAAGGTTTTAATTA